GGCGTTACTCGCCTGATTTAGCGGCAAATCGTCATCGCACTCACGTTCACGCTCACAATCGCACTCATCGAAGTCGAGATCGAAGTCCAGGCCGAGACGAAGTTCAAGCAAGCGCTCTACGCGTTCTGGGCATCCGCATAGGAGTTCGAGAGATCAGCCGCATCGTTCGCACGCTCCGAGACGGGTTTACTAGGTGGTTTGTCTTTCGGGGCTTGGGGGATGGGGTGTTTTGATTCTGGGTAATAGGAGTGGAAAAGGCAGGATAGTGAGAGCGAAAGTGAGGCTACAGGTGGAGGCATGCATGCCAGCATGACGAGCAGAACGACTATTCAAATACAAAGATTTCCATGGAATGCATGGGAGAGTCCCCAGATGGAACTCTATCACGTTGCCGGCGGTGCTTGGGTTTAGAGGAAAGCGGTCGGCTAGTACCATGCCTATGGCTCATGTTGTATTTACGGCCCATGTTATTAGCTAAGAATATTACGAGGTACTCTCAGGCATTTGAAGTGCACCTTTGCCTTCATCATTGCAATGGCTGCTCATCTCTCACCACCTACCAGGCGCTATCGCTCGACCTCACGTTAGCCGACTATAAAGCGGCCTTGCTGTCAACTTTGACGACGACAACTCTTTACACCACATCATGGCGCGTCCTAGCCTCGAGAAACGCAGTCGAAAGACTCCTGCTTCCAAGACGACAAGCAAAGTCGCAAAGCCCAGGGTTTCTCGCGTCACCGGAAGTGAGAAACTACGTCGGGCAGCCATGTAAGTATCTCCAAAGCCCTGTGACATTCGAAAGTAGCTGATGACATCGATTCCAGCGCCCGTAATAACAGCAACTCACCTCTCCTTCGCCTTCCAGCCGAGATTCGGAACCAGATCTACGACTACGTTATAGGAGGCCAGACTTACGTGCTCCATGAGAGATCTCTGGGAAAACCATCTTACTATCTCATCAGAAAACATAGCATTGGTCTTCATCGGCATGAGCAGACGGCTCTCTCCCAAACCTGCCGCCAATTCCGACATGATACAAGTGTACTTTTCTTCCAGAACAACATATTCATGGTGACCTGTCTCAACCCTGCTTCAAACATGGACAGCTGGATGCGTTCATTGCAGCCGTATCACGCAAGTGCCATACAGACCGTGTTCTGGGGTCTTTGGGGATCACGCAGCAACCCCGAAGCTCTGAAACTTCTCTTGGCTAACTGGATGGGAATCAAGAGGGTTGGGGTGTACTTTTACATCAAATCAAGGCTGCACGTAGCAAACCAAGAAGCCCTAAAGATTGCAGGTTTCGAGCCTGGTGAAACAGTTCGAGATAGGAGGTTTGGGCTCAACATAGTGTGGTATGAGCGGTCTTGATCATCTCATCAGTAAGTGACTGTTGCGCCATTCTTTCGCTATATCGGCTGATCTGAATTGCCAGACATGTCGCCTCACCATGTCGCGTTTGCTAAGCCCGGTCAAGAACATCGGCATGTTCTATCGGTGGGGTTTGGATTCTACCCAGAGCCTCACCACCAGCGACGGACTCAAAGGCTTTTAGTACCTTCTTGGCTAAAGCGATCAATACTCCCAGTGGCTGGATGACCATGAAAAATCTGCTTTGACTTTCTTCAGCTCTTATTTCTTTCTGCGCAGCAGCAAAAGTCTTCAAACGATTACTATACCAATAGCACATACGGTATGAAAGACATTGAACTGATTTTAAGAACATTGAGTCACAAAATGCTTCCTTATGTGATCTTCCTATCTTCCACACTATCTGCCAACTTATTCTCTACCCCACAGCTCAATGGTAGTTATCCACAATGTCATAACCACGAGAAAATTGATCATCAACCCTTCGAAAGCCTCGAAGTGGCCCTTTGCTCTGCACTGACTTCGCTTTAAGCCACTTCTGCAGTATCCCCATCAGCCTCTCCTTATAGACTGCCTCAAGTCGTTCAAACGTCTGCCATTTATGCTCCCGCAGTAATTCCAGGTGAAGCAAGTCTGACCTACATCGCATGTCAGTAAGAACACGTTGCTGGACTCTGTCCGGAAATCATAGCCCACTCACCAGTATATCCCAACTTCTACGTTCTTCCCCTGTATAGCGCTGCCGATCTCCTCAAAGCACTCTCGTAAAGGTATATTCGCGTCGATACCACTCCACTCCCACTCTTTCATAACTCTCATCTCCTCGGCCGTTGGTAGCGTTTTTGAGAAGATCAAGTGATCGCGTGGTAGACACTCGAGCACATGCAAGCCCAGGTCGAGATGGGTAAGCGCAGGGAATTTCGTCAGAAGATTCGACGCAAACCATAATCTCGACTGCTCCACCAGACCGTTTCTTTCGTCGAACAAACGGATAGAGTACAAAGGTAGCGAAAGCTTCCGGATAAGAGAAAGGTTATGTGCCCCAATCTTCAGACAAAAGGTCGTGAAGAGACTCTGGTAGCCGTGATTCCCGTGTGCAGGTATGAGATTGAAGCAGTAGAAGCCGAAGAAGTAAGTGCGCACCTCTTGTGAGATTTGGCGGCTTGTCAACATGAGACTCCAGAGGATGGGTCGCGCGGATGATTCGAGGGCTTGGAAGGTACGGCGGAAGCAAAGGCGGACAGCGACTGAGAGTGAATCAGGGTCGCGTTTGTTGAAGAGGTATCGGTAGATTTGCTGCCGGACTTCTAGGGGAAGCTTTTCGAGAGAAGATCGAGTGGGTTCAGTCGGAAGTGATGAGATGGTAGGGTTTAGTTTTATCGCAGATAGGGAAGTCGCGATGCCGTCTAGTGTTGCAGATGAGGAAGACATGACTGAGAGATGTTGCCCGATGGCACCGCAGTATCTTGAAGATGAATACAGACGAGTTGGAGAGACCAAGAAGGTAAAGCTATGGTTGACTGCGTGTATTGTTGACGAGGGACTGCATCCGGGTAGATAAGTAGGCTAGGGGACTGTGCAAAGTCTAAACCGCGGCAGCTCGTAGCCCACCTAACTAGATTCGCCACATGTACTCGCAGAGGAATGGCACTTCCATTCACTCGACCGGTCAGCGCTTCATAGCAACTATTCTAGCTCATCATTCACTTCACCCGCTTGATAAGTCGCTACAGTCTTGCTGGCTTGTCGAATGCAAACAGCGACCTCCCCTTCTTCTCACCATCCTGCCAAACCCATCCGCTTTTACCCACAATCTCGACCGCACCACTGGCCATCTGTCGCAATGTACTTTCATCGCCATGGTTCGAAAGGAAACGTTTGTTGCTGCTCTTTACGCGACCAATGATGTGACCTCGAAGCGGGCTGCCGTCTCGGTTGAACTCTACGGTGTAAGTTTCGACAACAGCCTCGCCCTCTGGGTCGAAAACGAGCTCAGGCGCGGGCACATCAGTAATCTGCGGCGGTAGAGGGTTCTCTGTCGGATAGTTTCCTTCTCTTCTGGGCTCTTTCGACAATATCACGACGTACTGATAGCTCAGAACGCCGCCATTGCAGAGTACCAGTCCCTTCTGGCCCTTGCCGTCTCTCAGCTGCCGCGTCATTTCAGTGAGCGCATGCATCGAGTAGTTGTTGCCAGCTCCGCCGAAAGATGTCAGACCACCAAGTATCGTCAATGGCCTTTGATGATCTACCACAGGTATCCCTAGAGGTTGCGCTGCAATCTTAGGTACGATAGGAAAGCAAGAGTAGATGTCAATAATGTCCATCTCTTCTTTGGTCGCACCAGAAACCTTCAGACTCGCATCTATAGAGCGCGATATACTGGGCGATGTGTAGAAGTTCGGTCGTTTCCAGAACTCATCGGCGTCCTTCGTTCCTGCGCCACCAAGCGGATACACCCATTTTGACTCGGGAACTCCTAAGGTTTTGGCGAAGGAGGTCGACGTAAGGATGACTGCAGAGGCAAGATTAACCGTGTTGAAGGCGTTCATAAGCAGGGGATCTACGCGTGTGATGTAAGCGTCCGTTCCTAATGCGGAAAGAGGAGAAACCCACAAGGATAGCATATCATCCTGTTCTTCTTGCCAACAGTCTTAATGTCTTCCTCACTACTTGAAACTCCTTGACCCCAAGCGTACTCATTATTCTTTGCGACGTCGGCAAATTCAGCATACAGCTTTGCACTCTCTTCGTGGTTTGCCTTCAGCGTCTGCCCGCGATGCGCACGGAACGCGTTTTCGTAAAGCGGGTAGACATGTATTGGCGCACCAATCTTGTGAATAGCACCGAGGTCTTTGCCAGAGTCAGTAGAAGAAAGGGTTTGCCAGAGAGAGGAAACCGCACTATTTCCTAGGTCGCGACCTGTTGGCGTGAAGACCGAATCTACAGCTTCGGACGGAGCTGTCCAGCCTGGTGGAGGAAGCTTCTTTGCGGCTGCGCATGCGGATACTGATACAGTCAGCGATGAGTGGAGGAGGCAGAAAGGTGTGTAGTACGTACACGAAGCTAATGCTTCACCTCCAGTTACAATCGCGACTTTACATTCGCCTTTTGCAATCCTCTTAGCGGCCTCGTCGAAGAGCTTGCCTGGTTTATCGCCTCCATGTTCGGAATATCTCTTCCATTTCAGACTCTGATCAACGCCCAGCTTCTCAGCCAAAAGCCCGGGTAGATCTGGATACGGCCAAGTCCACGTCTTGACGACATCGACGCTGTCGATTGCTGACTGCAGGTCAGTCTTCGAAAGAGATGCAGTGTCGTTGATGGCTTTCTGGATGGCTTCTAGCATCAATGTTGCGGGCTCCTTCGCATCCGCGATGGCGGTGGAGCGGTTCTTGATGTCGCCTACGCCGATGATCACGGGGGTATTGGCGGACATCATGTCGGGTTAAAAGATTAAGCGCAAGACGGGCGAAATTTGACCTCTCAATGTGAAATGCAGTTTTACTTATGTCACGTACTTCGTGATTGAAAGCATGGCTTCCATTGCATGTCGGAGAGTCCTGGTTGACGTGAGGAGTCGGATTTGCCGAGGTACAAATGACGCGAGCCACTGCCGCACGCGCTGCTCATGTCCTCGACGCGTCAGTTCCGGCCATCGGGACGGATGCATCTTCTGCAACAGTCCTCCGGTCTCTCCATGCAGCGTATAGCAACACTACAAAAGCCTGTCCCTCCGGATTGATACCGTTGAGCGGCGTCCGCTGACCTTCCTTCAGGGAGTTGACCACAGGTGCCGCAACACCAGTTTCCTCATCTATATAGCGACTGACAGACTCTAACTTACACGTCGCCCATCCTACATACCGTTCCCCGAATGTGCCAGGCTCGAGGAGCGCCATTCTGAAGGCCGTAGCTGCCATCAACGCGGTTCCCGCGACCTCTGGAAACCATGTCTCGTTGTCGAGATAGTTGCGCAACAGGCCCGATGCATCAGTATCAGCCTCTATCGCGCCGTCAAGAATGCCTTTGGTCATATTTAGTAGCATCTTCTGCTCATCAGCGGTTTCCGATCCATATTGAGATTTGCGCAATGTTGCTAGGACCCTAGCCATCCCAGCTGCAGCCCAGGCATTGCTCGTACACCACGCGCCGTCATCGCTCTTCACGCTGCCCGTGCCCTCAGCATTGACGATGTGTCGCCAATACCCTTTCGATGTGCTCAGCACCTCGCAGTATAGCTGGCACTGCCGTACACTCTCTTTCACCATGCCTATGTCCGAGGTGAAGACACCGTGGTATGCAAGAGCAGGCGGTACCATGTAGACGAAATCTGCCCACAAAGAAGGGTACGCATCGCGATGCGATATCGCGCCATTGCTGTATCTGGGCGTGGTGGAGAGCAGGTCATGCAGCTGGCGATTTACAGCGGAGAGGTAAGGATTGTCAGGCGCTTGGGAGGTTGTTGAATTGTAGAGCAACAAGGCTGGAATACAGAGAGATGTCGGATCGGACGACGAACCTAGTTACTGCCTTTAGCATGCGTTAGACGAAGTCTGAGAGAAGAGAGCTTACCGTTACCTTCGCACAGTCTCGCGCTATTCGTCTGTATGAATGGTTTCACATATCGCAACGCTTCTACACCCTCTACCGTCAACTCTGGTATCTTGCCCCCTGGAAATGGGTCATGGAAGATGCTGTAATGAGGATCTCTGTACTCGAGTAGCGCTTCGAATACGGTGCCGTACTCCCAGCTATGTGACGCAGTTTCCTGCGCTTTGGAGAGAACCTTGTCGATCACAACCTGCGAAATCATATCGCGAACTTCCCGATTGATGCTTTATGTTGGTTCCTAGGGTCGACGGGGATTGTAGCTTCGAAGCGCGTGCATACACGTCTGCGGTATGACGTTCGCGACGCGCGCATATGGTGTCATCTCCGTGCCTTCGCTTCCTGCCGCGGGCAGGTGCAGAAAGCTTGGTGAGGGGTTATTGTTCCTTCCAAGGACCCTCAAAGCTTGACCCAACCAACTCGACAGGTCCATGAGAACGACCCAACTTACATTTTGAGATATGATCGGCTGTAGAGGATATTGGGCTGTTGTAAGCTTACATGACCAGACATGGGACTTGCCCCTGCGCGATGCTATGGGTTATGTGCGCTCAACGACAGAGATGAGTGTGCTCTAAGAGTACATGTCGTATGTTGCTACCTGCCTTCAAAAAAGGGCATGCAGGTGGACTGAATGGTATCAGGAGACCCACATGTTGGTGTGCGCAGGATTGCAGGACCAGCCGTGTCGACTGGGGTGGACGCCCGCGCAGTGTTACCCGCTGACGTTTACCGAAGCTGACAGCCAGCTTCTTCTTGAAGGTCGGCAAGTAAGTAAGTACTAGGATGAAATGCGAAAAGGCTTCCTTCACTCAGAAATTCGAGTACATGCTAAAGCTGCTAGATTGATGTCTGGTAGGACGATGGGTCGCGCCATAGTTGCATGGCCCTACGGATGATGTACCCACAAGAGACCCGCAGCGAGTATCCTCCAAGCGACGTCCAAGCTTCTGAGATCCTGCCTGGGTGAAAGTGTTACGTTTGAAATCCTCGACGGCACGAATACTGAAGATAAGAGTAGCACATTATGATAACGAAGGAGGCCTAATAGCATTACAGTCCAATGTCAGAATCTTCTAAGCGAGTACCAACATGTCGAGCTACTGCGTCTTCTACTATACAGCGCACACAGTCTTGGTTCGTATCATCGGCGGCTTGTCCGGTGAAACCAGACACTCGCGCCGCCGGATGAAGCACGAACCGCCATCCCCGCCATCCCCAGGTTTTGCAATGAACTGTCAGTCTGCATTCTCCATGCGCCCCATGATCAGCTCCATTTGTACCCAGACCCAGCTCGCAAACCAGCGGCGGATACCTCGAGCGCTAAGGCTTCTAGGCGTATTTCCAGAAGCTTGTTCGAGCTCTGGAAAGCCCAGTTTGAGCCTCATGCACATAATACGCGCGGTTTACGTCGGCTCAGTTGTTTTCACATCACCCTACAGGTAAGGCGCAGGGCGCATCTCCAAACACCAACAGATGAACAGTGCCCGTGGCGCAAGGAAGTAAACCCGAAGGAATGCGCGCCGCGCAGAGGGGACGTCATCATACGAGTTAAGCAACGGGCTGCAACCATCACAGCGCTCGAGGTATTTTTCCCCGCCTTTCCTACCGGTAGTTTGCACTAGCCAACGATAATTGGTTCCCCAGAACCCGTTCTAACAAGGGTCTGGGCTACGATCGTCCCATACGTTCGATAAGGACTTGGCCACCGAAGCCGTACCACGTTTGGGTAGGTCCGAACCGCCAACGTGGATTAATCCTCCTCTCGCGCCGGGCCATACACCACATTTGTTGAAAAAACTGCTATCACAACCGGCGCGTTCTTCAGCCGCTTTTGTCATCTAGTTAGTTCTATATAACCACTAGACATCCCCTCTAGAGCGAAAGCAAGATTGGTACCACCGACCAAGCCTTCCTTTTGTCTCGTGTCAATCATGCCGAACCACCACATGGCCGACGAGAAGCCTGAGGCTGTGCCGTATGGCTACGATGAGAGTCAGGTTGGCTTCGAAGAGCCGTTTGTTCACGGCGCCGCTACTGTTGGTGGTGAGACTGGACGAGGAGGAGACACACATCGTGGACTGAAGAGTCGACACATCCAGTTTCTGTAAGTCTGCGTTCTCTCGTGTGGCTGAACTTATCGCTAACATCCTGTCAGTGCGCTTGGTGGTGCTATCGGAACTGGTCTCTTCATCGGATCTGGATCTATTCTAGCCCTTGTCGGTCCTGCTCCGTTGTTCATGGCCTACCTCAGTATGATGCTTGTTGTTTACAACGTCATGAATAACCTGGCTGAAATCGTCACTTACCTTCCCATGCGCGGTATTACTATCCCTTACTTCATCAAGCGATTCGTAGACCCGAGCCTCGCATTCGCCGCTGGTTGGAATTACTGGTACGCCTACGCGATTTTAGTGGCCGCTGAAGCTACAGCTGGAGCAATCCTTGTCGAGTACTGGGAGACGCCTGTCCACAATGCTGTCTGGATCACCATCTTCCTGGTCGTGGTCTTGTTCCTTAACATCGTCGCAGTCGAGGTTTTCGGAGAAGCCGAGTTTTGGTTCGCTTCTATCAAGTTCATCACCATCATTGGTCTTGTTATTCTCGGCTTTGTGATCATGCTTGGTGGCAGCCCAAACGACCAAGGCCGGCTCGGGTTCAGGTACTGGAACAATCCTGGAGCTTTCAAGCCGTACATTGTGGAAGGGAACTCCGGGCGTTTCTTAGCTTACTGGACTGCCTTCGTCCGGGCTGGATTTGCCTTCATCACTTCGCCTGAATTGATTGCGCTCGCTGCTGGAGAGACTATTGCCCCGCGCCGGAATATTCCCAAGGCTGCTGGCCGCTTTGTTTACCGTCTCGCCATCTTCTACGGTCTGGGTAGCTTCATCATCGGTGTTATTGTCCCATCAGACGATGATCGCCTCCTCAGCAAGAGCTCCAACGCTTCCGCCTCTCCCTTCGTCATTGGTATCCAGCGTGCGGGAATCGTAGGTCTGAACCACGTCGTCAACGCGGCTGTCCTGACATCAGCATGGTCTGCCGGAAACGCCTTCTTGTTCTCCGGATCCCGTGTCTTGTATGGTATGGCTCTCAACGGAGAAGCACCTAAGATCTTCGGCAGGACAAGCAAAAAAGGTGTACCATACGTGGCTGTTCTCGCCACATGGGCCATTGGACTCCTCGCGTACCTGAATGTCTCCAGCACTGGCGCCCAGGTCTTCTTGTGGTTCTCCAATATCTCCACCATCTCTGGATTCATTGCCTGGATCGTCGTCATGATCACGTACATCCGCTTCCGCAAGGCCATGATCTTCAACAACTTGCTCGAGTCTCTGCCCTACCGCACGCCCTTCCAGCCATATTTGACATACTTTGTCCTCGGCTTAGTGTCGCTCCTGACTCTCACCAATGGCTTCCAGGTCTTTGTGCCCGCCAACTGGTCCGTGTCCGACTTCCTTGCCGCTTACATCACCATTCCAATCTTCATCGTACTTTACGCTGGTCACAAGATATACTTCAGAACGCCGTTTGCTATCAAGGTCGAACACATCGATGTTATGACGGGTGTGCGAGAGATGAACGAGTTGTGCAAGGACGATATTACCGGTGCACCTGTGCCGAAGAATGTTATGCAGAAGATATGGTACTGGATTGCTTAGAGTAGCACCACAAAACGGTTGTCAATGTTCCTTCTACTTGCTAGCGTGCGCTTTCATCTTTTTAGCCGTATACCATTGCTAGATCAATAAGCTGATTTGGCACTGTTCGTCCTGCCCACGAGCATCGCACTTCTAAGGTGTACTGAACCAGAGTTCCTTAATTGTGAAGACTTCCGATCTCTGTTGTGCTCTTACTGGTTGGTTGAGACATGCGGCTCAACCATCGGATCAGCCTTATCGTGCGCCTAGAGCTGTGTACGCCTGGCATCGGGGTAGATAAGCCCATGCGTCAACACTGCACCTAGCCACTGAGATACCATTCAACAATGATCTCACATATGACACCATGGGAGCGTCGAGCAAGGCTGTGGTATCGAAGTCAACTGAGCAGCATTTCAAAATGACCATAAATCAAGACGACGTCACAGTTGAAGCGGTGAGGATGCAGGCTACTTTTACACGTAGCCCTACGACGCTTTTCATGCGTTCTAAACCGTGGCGCGCGCACCGTAAGGGGGTTGTCAGGGGTAGGGTATTACAAGGATACCTGAATTTTCTAAGACAGCTTCTACGTGCAACAAGTCTTTATTCTTTATTTACTACTAAGAGCTATGAAGACTATAATTAATATGAAATCTTAAGCCTGTTAAGGCCTAAAGAAGTTTCCTCTATTCTAATATAGAAAGGCAGCAATAGCAACAACAGCAGTGTTAAAAATGGTGACAACACTCCTTCTAATTATCCTTAACTAAGATATAATACTCGCTGCTCTCTTTCTAACAGGACTCGCTGCTCTCTTTCTATGCCCCAACTATAAGTCGAATAGCTTCCCATTTTTGCGAATCCGATTCGTTCGCAGACGGTACAGTCGTCGTTAATCCACCTAGCAATAAGGCACTCCTTGGGGGCCCAGCTTGAGTAGACCGATGCCCAACAGTCCCTATACAATGCACGGGCTTCAAATTCATCAAAGGGCTTGGGATACAACTTGCGGGCATCTTTGTCTTCCTCGAACCACGCGAGTTCGTCAGCTAGATGTATCAGAAAGGTTCCTCGATCTTGCAGTTCCTCCATCTCGACACCAAAAGCCACTAAAACCCGGTAAGGAGGTCCGAGAGACACGCTCTCTAGCACAGGTAAAGGAAGCTCGTAATGATTCGTTGTAGCGTGCGGATGCGCCATTTTCGATGGTCCACTTCTGTACTTGCTGGTGAAGAACTGTGATGTCGGCAGGCAAGTTGCTGAGAATTTTAACATGCACGGTGTTGCCGTGCCCTTTGGCAGGCAATAGCCAGCGAGGTTCTCGTCAAATGACACGATCTCAACGTCTTTGACATATAGACGTCTGGAACTTTGGTTGCAGCCAAACGGCGGTAGCCAGCTCTTCCTGCCTGTCCATCCAGCCCAAGACCAGCTGGGCAGCGATGAGATCCCTACACCATCCATGGATGTGCATGTGTAGCGTCTAGCTGAGAGGCCTTGAGACACCCACGACATTGCCAGGATAAGATCCGTACTAGGAAGACCATAGATCATGCGTTCGGGCTTGATCATCTTGGACTCCAAGAATGCGCTTATTCCGGCAAATGCGCGTAGGATATCAGTGTCGTATGTTAAGTTTCTCTTCGTGAATGAGATGACAAGATCGCGATACGATATAATGTCACGTAAGCTGTCCCATCTGGCTTTTATCGGGACGAGCTTTCGTAGCGGATGGAAGCGTATGCACGCCTCGGGAAGACTGCCATACAGCTCGCTGAATAGCACCGAAGGGCAGGTCAGAAACGCTTCAAGATGTGTCAAGACAAGGCATCGGGTCGACAGGATTCGTTCTTGGAAGGCTAAAGTGAGGTTAGTGACCATCTTGTTTTGAACTTTCCATACAGCGCTTACTCCACGCACGACCTTCATATGTGACATCGTCGAGATGCACTCCCAATTCCTGAGTTTTTCTTACTAAGCGCATGGGTCCGATCTTGGGCGTTTGCTGCGGTGCCCTGCTTCCAGTTCGTACCCCGGGAAGCTTATCCATGGCACTTGTAGAGGATGCGGCTATAATAGTGAGAACTGACTGCGAGTATATGTAGTCCATGCGGTTGATGTAGAAAGCCGTGAGTACCCCTTCGTCTTGTGGAATGCAAAGGCCATCGACCCACAAGTATCTCACCTTTATCGATCGAGTAAGCTGTATGGCATCCTGAACAACCGGCGCTGGGCAAAGCTTGTCGAGTGCCCCAGGTCGCATGAGAACCTCGCGATTCTCACTTGTGGTCCTGAGAACCTGAGCACCACCCCAGACATAACTGAGCGAACAGTAACGCGAGGTCGTATCCGCTTCGACAAGGCAAAGCCTTTGCGTATCAATGAGAATAAGCTTCATCGTTTTCTCGTCTGATGTTCGCCTACTACTGCTGCCACATCCATTGGCGCGGTCGTGTACAGAATGTGCACCACAGCAACTGTCAATGAAGCCGGACACCCAGCGAGGGTTGATCAAGGATCCATCGCCATGACATCGCCAGCTGCGCATGCGAGGGACTAGAGCCACGTCCATAGCAGACCGTTGTTTCCAAGGCCTATCGACGATCAATTGACAGCAAAAGCGCATTGCGCCGTCGTAGATTACCAATATTTCCGTGGGGAGCATGATATTCGTTCGTATCCAGCATCCGACATTCTTTGAGCCTATGTTTTCATCGCAGCGTGTGAGGGGCGCATCGATCTGCTTTTGCAGAATTATGTAGAGGAAGTCGCAGATGACGCATGGTCTTCGAGAGGAGATCTCGTTTAATGTGCCGAAATTGGTTTTGAGCAGGGAAACATGCTTTTGGAGTACGAAGTGTGAAGAGCACACTTTACATAGCCGCAATTTGATTCGCGTAGGTGGTGCATCGTGTGTTGTGATGTTTGTGTAAGTTGGTGTGGGGAGGCTGAGGGTGGGTGGCTGGGGAAATCGCGGTAACGACATGGCAACTACTAAGTTACTTCGTTGCGCGTGAGGCCTCCTTTTATCAACACGTTAAGCCCACAGCACGCAGAAACTGCTTCAGAGCCCTTTATATGATGTTTAGCTTATAATGAAGCGGCTGTGCAGTTTTCAACCTCGTCGCGCGGTGGTGGCTGAGTCTCAGCCTGATGGAGCACCGCGCCCCGGTAAGCTATTACCCAACTTACTGTAACAGGCTAAGCATGTCACACGAGTTACGCTGCATAGGTAGCTTTTGTCACGCGATTCCTGCTCCGCCCCTTCCGCCTAGTCTAGCGCAACTACAGCCAGAGATCATGGAAGAGATAAGGAATAAGACGCACCTGCTGCAAGACTCGAACGCTGCCGAGCCGCGCTGGAGCAGCGACGTGCACTTCATGATGCTGCGCCAGGTGTGCATGCACTTGCCAGGTATTCATGAGCAGAACATTACATCAGCCCGACCAAATCTCCACCTCGTCCCAAAGACCGGGTCCAACAACACGGAATCTAAGCGTTGCTCTGTGATGATAGCCTGATCCCATCCCGCCTTGTCCAGCAGGTGCTTGCAAATCCACGCAACGAGATTGACAGTATAAACCATACGAGCGCGAGCGTGCAAAGCTTGAGACAAGACCCCATCGCGATCTCCATCGAAACAAAACCCCCAACGGCAGCGAGCCAACACAACTCTCGCTCTGGGCAGCGACGCATTTCAACTGCCTGCGCACCTTGCTACGACCCACCAAACGCGACGTAGTTTTCATGCCGTTGCCACTAATAATGGCAGTCGGTGTAAACCGTAGCGCGCGCGAAGGGGGTCTGAAGTCATGCATAGTATACCTAGGTGTGGAATCAGCCTTAACGAAGTGGTTCTCAATCGTAAAATCATTACCTAGGCACGTTTAGAGGAATTCAAAAGCATATCACGCTTAATATCAATTAAAATGCATGCCGTCAACCCCCCTAGCGCGCTACGGAAGTCTCATGAACATGGAGAAAGCACAACGAACATCGATTCCGACGATGGAACTGATCCAAAGGAGCGGAGAGCGTCTGTTCTGTGGGTTGGCGTCCTTCAAGGTCCAATTAGGCAAGTCTTAACGGTGTTGGTAGTCGTATTCCATGCATTGCTCGTGGTGGACGCTGCTAGCGTGGTTGCTTAATGAGCCCTCGCACCTGTACTCATGTCGTTGTGCATTATGCACAACTTCTGTAACTTTGTAGATTTTCCTAATGTACGCCTAAGAACTAGTACAAAACCCTGTCTTTCTCCTCTGCTGCTGCTGCTCTGCCACTATCAAAGAGTTAACATTCACATCCAGCGAAGTGCAATAATCGGATCACAACTTTAAACACGATGTCACGTACCAAGATTTCAATCTCTCCACCGCCAGAGCTTCGTAGGTGCAAAGCCCATCGGTGGAAGCTCACAAACTAACCATTCTCTAGCTCCGGCGAATGAGAAATAGGTCAGTGGCGTGGCATCCTCGAACCAGAAGTACCAAGCCTTTCAAGGGCTCTGATCGGGTACCCAGCGGCTCGACCTGCGTGATAACACCATATGCGGTCGCTAACGTGTGCGTGTCATAGTTTCGAAGAAGTACAACTGCCTGCATCAACACTGCATACTTTGGTTCTTCCATCTCGTCCCATGGTACTGCGGTGACGCGACGCAGACGAGCGACTCACAACTTCCGAATTCCATATGAACCCATCCAATCAGATCCTCTCGAAAAAAGAGAAGTATCGTTAACACAAGAGCTGGGATGCATCGCCTGTACACCCACTCGCTCCACACGAAGCCAAAAAACAAAACAAAAAGGAACGTCGGAGCGGTAGACTAAATCGCTAGTCACACAACAGGAGAGAAAGCGTATGGATTCAAGTGTGAACAAGCTCACGGAGTTGGAAGAGGCATTGTCATCGGCGCTTCTTACGACGTGTTCGAACAGCCTAGTGAAGTGCTGCGGCTTTCTAATGTACTTGTATCTTTTCAGTCCATGCCATTGTACTACATCAACGACACCAAGTCTCCCTCCATTGAACGGTTGTACCTGTAGCATCCGTGTGAGAGTAAATCATAATGTTCACATGTCAGTGAAGCATCAAGCTATCATCAGCCCTTGCCTCGCTGCCATGTCCGAAGACAACCGCGACGAACCTTCAAGATTCCGCACGTACATGACCAAAGACGTAATGTTGGTTCATCTTTCTATTCCATGCTAGTTCACGTTCTCTTCCCGTCAAGTACTCTCCTCATACACATCTGCGTCCTCGTGTCCACTCCTCCGTAGGAAAATCTTCATGCTCTCGAGCACTTGTTTCTTCAGATCCGATCTTTTCAGGTTCTGCCCCGGAAATCCTCCATACGTCCTGTCAAACTCGAACGGCTTGATTGCCTTCCATATCCCATGGATAGCCTTGGGCGTTAGTGGAATCATGTTGGGATACGCCCACATGAACGAGTAGGATGTCGTATCCGGCACGCGGTGCGCGTTACTGAATCCAGACTATCGCGATTGTTAGCCATGTTAAGCTCAACAATTTTCGAAAAGGAAGAGAACAGGACTGACAGGCACACTCATAAACGTATCAGCGATGAAAAGCTTCCGGTCCCACCACAGCACCGCACTGCCCTCAAAGTGCCCACCGCATTGAATCATCTTAGCCTCGCCCCCACTTTCTTCAATCTCAGTAACTCCCTTGACGAACTTCCTCACACCATTCTGATCCTTTCGGTTCAACCACGTCTGATCATCGCCACACATATACACGGGACACCCAAACACACTCGCCCACTCCAAATGCGTAGTGTAGAAATGCGGATGGCTGATCACCATAGCCTTTAGCCCACCCTTTCCCTTGATGAAGTCGATGGTAGCAGGGTTTAAGAATGCGACACAATCCCAAAGGATATTGCCACGTGATGTCTGCAGTAAGATGGCTCTTTGACCAATACCAAGTTGCTTGCGGGTTGTGCTAGAATCGGCCAGACCTGGGGGAAGTTCCGATGGAGAGAGAGGCGCAGTGGTTATGTAGTGGATGCGAGGGTCTTCTTTATCCGTCTCAAAAGTGTTCTTTTGGAGGGATTGGCAGGCGGAGAGCGAGGTCCAGGATTGTCCTGATGCGGGAACGTACTGGCGAGGGTCCTAGATATTCATCAGCTTTATTACTTTTGTGTTTCGTTTTCTGGCCGTGCTGATTCTGGATTCTTGGTATTGGTGATGGACATACATCACAGATCCGGCATGTCTCCGGGTGCTGCTCAAGCGGAACGTCGAATTGCGTGCCGCATGTTTCGCAGATGGCTAGGTTGCTAGGCTCGAAACTCATTTTGTCGATATTTGAGGTTTGTATATCGAGCCACAACTTAGTCGAGGCGAGAAATGTAAGAGCATGGGCGAAGATGCCGTCATGCTTGCGATGTGTGATGTAGTAGCTTCAAAAGTGGGGTTCGGGAGGGGAAAGAGAAGCTGATGAGAGCTTCCTCATGACAGCCACTTTTGGGCCTGCAAATGTATTGAGTGACATTTTTATAACCGTACCGCGATATCATGATTGTCAAGAAAGTTCAAAGTCGCGTCAAAGTGTGGGGCTTGCTTGAGCATATTCCCAGGTTTACTCCGGTACTCAAAAGCGGCGAATCAGCAAGTACTGCATCATGCATCTAAGCTGGCTTCTCTACATTCGTCGACTTATTAGCTGCGAAATTCAACGGTATCTGGAAATTCAGGATAGTTGATGAGAATGTTGTTGCAAGGTAATGATATTGGATTCCTGCGCCTGTAACGCCTACGCATTCTATACGCGCCAAACACTATACATGTCGAGCCTTTGACTCACGCCCTATCGACTTCGCATCAAGTTGCGATTTGGGCACCGCATTCGTAATCCTCGACCATTCGCCGTTGAAAGCATTGACGAGCCACCACTTAAGCTCTGGAATTCTGTTAGTTGCTTGGTCGTATCGACGGCACACTAATCACTTACTGTCGTAGACAATCCTATTCGCGTTGTGGAAGTATATACTATGATCCGAATCGGGGAACACATGAACGTCGTAGTTCTCGATACCCGCAAGATCCAGCCGGTCAAGCAGGGTAAGTGTGTTTTGCATGTGTACGTTGTCATCAGCGACACCGTGCATGACCAAAAAGCGGACATTCTTCGCTAGGGAAGTGACATCGGTGATGGTGGAATTGTCGTAGCCTTCGGCATTGTTCTGCGGCGTGTGCATGTAGCGCTCCGTGTAGATGGAATCTGCGGGAAAGAATTAGAGAAGTAGATGAGTACCGTGAGTCTTCTTACCATAGTACCGCCAATCAGTCACAGGAGCGACAGCCATCCCATACTTGAACGTCTCTCCTCCATCCTGCTCGAGTGTCTTCAGTGTGTTGAAACCACCGTAACTCCAGCCCCAGATCGCAAGTCGATCAGCGTCCACGTACTTCTTGCTGGCCCAGATTTTGGCCGCGGCGATCTGATCGTGCGCCTCGTAGTATCCAATGTTGCCTCTCGTGATGCATCGAAGCTTCCGCCCAAGGAAACCCGTACCTCGCCCGTCCACTGTCACCACAATGTACCCGAGACTGGCGGCAATGTACGACTGGAAATCAACCTTGAACTTCTTGTTGACTTCCTGCGACCCCGGCCCGCTGTATTGGTAGAAGAGAACAGGGTACTTCTTCTTCGGGTTAAAGTGCGGCGGGCGACGCTCGAGGACGTTCAGCTCAAAGCCATCAACGTTGATTGTCTGATAGTTGAGAATGGGCATCTCAAGCCGGCGTACAAAGCGGTCAAGCGCTTTGTTTTCCTCAATGACCTTCTCGTACTTATCGTTGTTCGATGGCGTGCTGATGATCTTCTGCCATGGGATTCCGGGACCGTTGTAGGTGATCAAGGCGTAAGAGCCACCAGCTGAGAAGGAAGCGTCGTAGTAGCCTGAGCCTCCATTCTCCAGCATTTCGCTCTTTCCAGTACCGTTCAAGAGTACAGAGTAGACGTGTCGTTCCATGGAGCTCTTCTCGGTTGAAACGTAGTACACCAGGTTGTTCTTCAGGTCCACACGAGAAGGCGCATCAACGACTTCCCACTCGCCCTGAGTGAGCAACACAGGCTTGTCACTATCCAATGGTGAAAAGTAGCCGATATGGTCGTAGCCTTCGTGAATGATTGTATCAATGTATCCATCATCCTTGCGGCCGTTGTCAGGATCAGCCGGTACGAACGTTGTCTTCTGTGAGACTTCCATCCAGCCGCCGTCCAGCTCAGCGACGTTCTCGGTCCTTACAGTCTTGCCAGTGCGCTTTTCGACGTCCATCAAGACGAGCTTCAGGATGTCGCTCTCGCGGTTGGTCTCACGGACAAGTACTTGCTTCGTCTTTCCAGCCCAGACGATCTCGGTGATCAGACGGTTTTCGTCGCTGAAATCGTCTTCTATCTCGACACTGAAGACTTCGCCCTTTTCGACATCGTAGAATTGTAGTGAAACGATGGGGTTGGGGGCGCCTGCCTTGGGGTACTTGATGTCGCGAACCTCGGGGTAGTTCTCTTCGCCAGCCTTAGGCTTCTCTCCGCTAGGCCGTGACACGAAATACTGGACCGGGTATGTCGGGACGGTGGACTCGTCGGTACGCAGGAAAGCGATGTACTTGCCATCCTCAGACCACCATGTCGCACTGTTTCCTTGGAAGACCTCCTCCTCGTATACCCAGTCAGGTACACCATAGAAGAGCTCAGAGCCACCGTCTTTCGTAATCTGTATGACCTCCTTGGAGTTCAGCTTGCGCAGGAACATGTTGTTGTCTCTCGTGAACACGACGGCATCCGACTGCGGAGATATCGAGGCTAGCTGGATTGCGCCGTTTGGCTGGTCCGGATCCAAAGCTTCGCCAGTCTGTGTCTCAACATCAAAAATCCAGTACTTCGCAGTACCGGAATGTCGCCAGTTCTTTTGGTAATCCGACGTGACAAGCACCTTCTTGAAGTCTTTACTTGGCTGAACATCACTGGGATAGACGTATGTGCCATCCACCTCAAATGTGTTCTTCTTCATCAGCGTGGTCTTGCTCGCAGAAGACGTTGCCTCGCCCTTGGACCTTATGTCCTCAACGACCAGGTATTCCTCGTTGCTCGAGCCCTTCTCAAGCAACAGGCCATCCTCGCCCTTCGGTCCCGGTATCCATGCGACGCTTTGCTGTTGGGCATAGAAGCGGCCTCCGAAGACGTCGTCCAACGTAATCTTCCTCCCTGAGCCCTTGGTAGAACTGGCAAGAGGGTCGTGTGGTCTGGACGAAGCATGCTTGTAGCTGCCGTTCATCAAGAAGAAGACAAGCGCAAGCGCCCATCCAGCTACACAGGCCGTGCCCACAATCCATAGCCACCTCCTTGTCTTTTTGTCTACAGCAATGGGGGCCTTGAACCGCCCATCCTCGACGTCGAACGGCTCGCGCGCCTGGCTTGCGTCGTCATCGTCGTCCGTGTACTTCTCCCCACGCTTCAGTTGCGACGCACGATTGAGGGACGGGTCGTTGATGTGTTCGAGGACGAGCGACGTTGTGGAAATCGAGGATATGGATGTTTCGTAGCCGTCTTCTGAAGTGCGCGCGGATCTCTCTTCCTTGGTTAGCAGCTCCGTCTCCTCCTCCTTCGCGGCGCGCTGTCGCGGCATGGTAATGATCAAGTAAGAACAAGTACGCAAGCAATTATAACATTGTAGTAAAAGGCGACGCAGGATCAGATGAGACCAGCCTCAAGAAAAGGGTATAGTGGCAAGGCGCGGGTGCGGGTTATGAACAGTGTCCAGCTGGGCGGAGTTGCGGAGTTCACGCGGAGGTGCGGGAGCTGGTGTTGGCCGAAACGCCCCAAGCCACTCTTCGACGCAAGGGGCCGCCCGCGCTGCACTAAGACTTGCATTACATACAATGAGATTGTGGTACGCGATCCTATTCAAGCCTATTCTGGGAATTTATTGGAAGAATGGCGCTACAAACTGTGCCAAATCTAGATGGTGTGATTTCCTTCTCTGTTATTTCAATACAGCCACATCTGCTCTGATTCTGCAAAACCTTGAACCAATTGAGCAATTGCCTTACTCCCTACGAGTACTGATACAGCCAAGAATTCGTTATTACGCTTCGTGTTTCTACGACGGTGTTGGTTTGTGCATGAGTTGCCAGATGGCCCCGCCGAACAATAACGTCTGCTCTGTAGTGAATATGTATGTTTGATTAGACTGCTCACGCACTGGCCCTCTAGAATGGCGCATACTGTCAATGGCCGTCGAATCATCCTACTATGAGGGCAATGGGCCAAGATAATCCTAGAAGTTTCGCTTAGCCGGTAGTCGACAAGGCCGGCGTTCATCTTTCTTACCTCCTTCATGGTGCCGACCGCATACATCTTGTCCACCTCTGATCTCAGACCCTTGATCTTTATGCGGATGTTGGTACCCTTCTCGATAACCTGCTCTCCGTCGTCGGTCCACTGCGGGGGTGTAGCGTTCGCGTCGAACTTGATTTCAGCGGGGATCATCTGTCGCTGTTAGTGATGGATGGAGGTATTAGTGTGGTGAGATTTACACTGCGTCCCACAAAGGCCTGCAAAGATCCACAGTCGACGAAGAAGCCGGTGCGGAGTACTGAGGTGACAATGCCGTCCATCTTGATATGGTTAGCAGTGGACTCGATAATCACGTCGGCCGCTTCCACATACCACCTCGCCCTTGTATGGCCGCCACACGACCGCCTTATAGTGCACGACGTACTCGGCAGAGCCGGAGCCAGGCATCACTTTGCCATCGGAGATGTCGAACGAGTCCAGAATGCACACGATGGTGTACTTTCCCGTGCTCGATCCCTCCTCTTTTTGTAGCAGCTCGCGGTGGATGTGCTGACGGATGAGCGGGCCAAAGTACGAGGGATGCAGCTGGATCGTCTTCTCAAGCTCTTTGAGGAAGAACATGTTGCGCGTTGTACGGCGGATACGGTAGAGGAGATGCGCGGTGTGGACGAGTTGCACGGTTCAACGGTGAAGATCGAGACAAGGTGAAGACAGGACCGTCGTCCTTGCTATTACGCGACTTTATTGTCTTTATGCTGAGCGGCCCAGTCAAGAGTCGACAGTATACGGTAGGCAGCGCGCGTGCTTCAGCGAGACGCGCCTTCGGCCTCCAACGCAGCCCTGATTCTTATTTGCAACAGCCCATGCACCCAAGTTGCAGTGTGATCGCGGCGCCCGTGCAAGTCCGAGGGTACAGTGGTCGCAGATGTGGGCGGAGTGAGTGTCTTGTAGGCGTGCAATGGTCGCGACAAGAAAGGTGAGCTCCAAGGGCT